GTACCCTATGACCATCTTGTAACAGATGTTCTTGCAACCACAAGCAGCTCTAGCTCCAAATCACAGCCACAGTGAGTTGTTCTTCTTCAACCTCTCTGCCTGTGCCAAAGCTCTTGCTGTTTCTGACCTCATACTTTGTCAGCTGATGAGGCTTGACAAAAGGAACACATGCCACCTCCAGTGTGATTTGATGATCATACATCACAGTGGGATCTCACCAGTGACAATTCGCCCTTCCCAAGGCACTGAGAATCTTATATGGGCTGCCCACTGCCCTTAAGCTGTAGATCAAGAAGACAAGAAAATGTAATAAATCTCAGAACCATGTTAGTGAATCAAAGGAGAGACAAGGGTGTCTCTGGCTGTGTGGTTTGCAGAACAATTATGGGACTGAGTCATGCTGCAAATTTTTTGGACTCATTGATGGGGACTAGACTAGAGAAGGCATACTGTGTGAAGCTGCCTTTGCCATGAACCATTTAACGTGCTGTCTAAGAGGGCACAGGAATATATGAGTATAGTGGCAAAAATATGGGAGATCCATAGAGCTGCAGCAAAGAGAGCTAGTTTTAGGATGGATAGGATTTTAATTTTGTGATTGGAGTAAAAGGACAAGGCGATCATTTTCAGAAGGGATAAGGGCTTTGACTCCCTTATTATTTATAGGCCTTTCAATCATGGGATGAGTTGTGTGATGGGAGGAGAGGGAGGGAGGAGAATGTCTCATGAGCTGTACCATGTAAGGACAGGTTATGACAAAGACTGCAGCAGGGGAGCAAGTTTTCTCAGAGTGGATTATTTGAGTACATGATCCTGCTTCATGGTTTACCCTTTGACCATTGTAGAAGCATGATTCCTCCTCTGCTCCAGGGACATTTAGTCAAGCAGTCACAGACCATGGCCAAACATCCCCACGAGACCCCTGCACCAGGCTGTGCCAGGATGTGTGACTGTCCCTAGCTTTGGTGAGCCCCATGCTCACAGTGTGAGACACAACAGACCTGCGTTTGGCTGTGCAGTAGCAAAACTGAGGAGCTAATCCACGAATGAGAACATCTGGACTCATAACATCTGGCACATTGATATAGCAGATGTATGGACCACATGTACTTACAGAGCTAGAAACCCCTTAATTCAACAGACACATAGTTTAAGTACAATGGATACAAATATCTCACTTTCACCCAGAAGCAATAGTCGTACTTCCTCTTTAATCATGTTTTACATGGTACATAAAATTATCCTCTTTGTGCTGAGCTCACCACAGCTTTGACAGCCTCTAAACACCTAAGAAAGCCCGGGGCTATGTATTTTTCACTTTGTATATACTACAACCACATACAATTTCAGGAAGTACAGGAGGATGTCTGGTTGTCTTTTAGTCGGAATTAATCTTTTACACCTTTGATTCAAGGAAGTTCCTTGTCATTCTCTCAGATATCACTCAGCTGTGTCAGCCACACAGCATTAAAGATCAACACAGATAATTTTATTACTTATCCATGATGTTAATTTTATTTTACTGTTTCCTGTGTTGAAATCACAAAACGACAGAACATTCCCTCATTAAAAAAAAAGAATCCAAATGATGATACTTGCAAGATAATGGTAGGGGATGTGGCAAGCAAAAGTAGGTTAACAGACTGAACTACACTTATTTTGCATCAGTTATACAACAGTCTTGTGAATTGTCCTTAATTGGTTTTGGTTATGCCAGGCCTTTATTTAATTCTCCTTCACTTTTAAGAGGCCTGAGGTAACACATTTCACAGAGAGAATATTCTGACTGACTTTGAAAGTGTAGTATTGTTGAGCAGAAAGACTCACTGAGCAGACTGCTAGTTTCTTTCAGCAGCAGGAGAGATGCAGGAGGTGATTAGCTTTGTTCTCATTTACAAAGCACCAGTGGGAATTTCTAAAGGGTTTCACAGGCCCTGGGGATAAGGCCAAGAACAAAACAGGGCAGTGAAAAGCAAATAGAGCACTTCATCAATAAACTACTTAGAGATGCCACATCAATAGCAAATTAGGAAGAAAGGAAGGCACTCTAATACTTTCACATAGCAATGGAGGTTTATATATTGTTTTTATTCCTACTTGACTTTTTTTTTTAAACAACTGCACCTCTATCAAACTAAGCTTAGCAGAGGGTATAGAGGTAATACCAACTCACCACAAGGCTATTTGGTAAGATTTGAAAGGGAGACATGCACTGCTTTGTGCTAGTTCTACAGCGCTGACCTCTCCCAAGGGTTACTACCGCCAGGAACTCCATCCCCGGAAAGGCTGGGAAGAGAGTGCACCAGTGGGAAAAGGCTACGGGGAACTGCCTGACCGCTGAGCAAAGATGCTGAAGTACTGCTGCCACAGCACCCCCTGCCCGCACGTCCCCACAGGGGACACCGCCTGCCCGCCGGACACAGGTGTGGATGGAAAGCTAAGCAGAAGAGGCAGAAAGACAGTATGCCGCTCGTACCTCGGTTTTAATTAATAAACGGTGCTCCTAAAATGTTCATTGCCCCTAACCAGAGGGGAAGAAAAATAATTTTATAGCTGGAACAAAATCAGCACAAGTCTGTGGATCTTTCAATTGTAATGATATCGAGGCATTTCGTTTGGATTTTAACTCTGCAATACACCACTAGTGTCAGGAAAATTAATCCACAAACACCAGAGGTTTATGTCCA